GAGTATTTAGTAGGTTCAATGAGCACTAGCACTGATTGTCTTTGCATCACCATTTTTTGCAGCATATTCAGCCATACGACGTTCCATTTCTGGTCGAAAATGTCGAATAAGACCCTACAAAATGAAATTTTAACATCAATTAAACAGATTTTTTTTCTTTATTTCGAAAGTTTACTTGAACAGGCCATGCAGCAGCATCGCCTAAAGCACAAATTGTGTGTCCTTCAATTTGTTTTGATAATTCCCAAATCATATCGATTTCAGCTGAACGAGCATTGCCAGTTACTGAGTAACAAAGAAAAAATAAATAAATAAACCAAACAAAAGGACGTCACCAAGTTTGGTGGCCTATCTTGGACTAGGATACAATATATGTAATTTTATAGAATAATTTATAGCGTATTGAATAGTAAATAGCAAGTCAAATTTTATGAAAATTTTTTATCTTCTAATGGCTCGTATATTAAATATAATTCTTGAAAAATATATATGATATTCATAGACATTGTCGTTCCTAATATGTTCTAAGATAAATTTAAGCAAGTTTTATTTTTAAGCTAAATTCGATAGAGTTAAGGTGATTTTCAATTTTCTATAATCAATAGTTTTCATCATGGCTTTCTTCACACATAAAAATGATCCGTTTTTTTAGGTCTACGTAATTTCTTAACTATTTGATATTCCAGTATGTTCAACTCTGTGCCACAAAGCAAGCAGGTACCAACGTGAAACATTCTGAAAAATTGTATCCGGTCGAGCTCTATATATTTCATAAGTTACATCTTTTTGACTAGCAGAGATTCAGTGTTAACTTGCAAGATTATCTCTTGGAATGGCATATTTCTCTATCTGATACTTATATTGACAATATTTTAACAAGACTCAACGATCTCATTAAAAATTGTTATGTACCAATACTGAACACAACATCTCTGATGAACTGATATAAATAGCTCATTTATAGCTGGAAACATTTTTTTGGCTTTCGGTTCTTCAGGAGGATAACAAGATATGGTTACAGAAAGGCGGTCTGATTATTTTCATTTCTTTTTCAAATTTTGATTTAGAGCATCCGTGTTTGATTTATATGTGAAAGTCTAGGAGAATCTGTAAATCTCTTATGTTCATTTCAAAAATAGATTTTTTCAAATCTCATACCCCCTCTAGGAAACTGAAGACTAAAACAACAGATTTTTCCGCTTATAAAAAAGTTATTTATATCAGTTCGTCAGCGATGCTGTGCTGATTATTTGTACATAGAAATTTTCAGCAGGATCGAAACATATAGTTTGATAGTATGTAACTTTTGAGAATGTTTCACATTGATACTCAATAGCTTTATGGCACAGAGTTGATCACACTGGAACATCATACAGTCAAGAAATAACTTAGACCTAAGAAAATCAAAGTTGCTCTACAAAACTACATGCATGGTATCCTAGTTCAAGATGAGTTACCGAAACCCACAGGGTTCTTTCTGATCTTACCAAATCGATTCATCATTTTAGCAAGCCAACCAGTTCCCTCACGGCATGGTGTACACTAAATAAATATAAAATAGTTTTTTCTTTCTTTTTAAAACATTATTCATTACTTGTCCACATGATTCATGTTGATAGAAATCCGAAAGCCGAGCAATAGCTTTAATAACATCTGTTGATTTATCCATAACAATAACAGCTGCTGTACCTAAACCTGATTGTACAGCAACAAGTGCATCAAAATCCATTAAAACATCATCGCATATTCTAAAATATTTCAATAATAATTTTATTCTTGATATTATTATCTATTACTTTTTTGGTAATAAAGGTACAGATGATCCACCAGGAATAATTGCTAATAAATTATCCCAACCACCTCGAACACCACCAGCATGTCTTTCAATAAGTTCTTTTAATGGTATTGACATTTCTTCTTCTACTGTTACTGGATTATTCACATGTCCACTTATACAAAATAACTAAATTAAAAAAAAGATTGAATAAATCATGTTGTTTTAATAAAAGAACAAACTTTAGTTCCACGGTTTCGTTCACGTCCAAATGAAGCAAACCAATCACCACCACGACGACATATTTCTGGTGCAACAGCAACTGTTTCAACATTTGTTACAGTTGTTGGACAACCAAATAAACCAATATCAGCTGGAAATGGTGGTTTCAAACGTGGTTTACCTTGTTTACCTTCTAATGATTCAATTAATGCCTGACAAAAAGAAAAATATTCATTTGGAATTATTTTTAACCAAACTAGTGATCAAACACTTACAGTTTCTTCACCACAAATATAAGCACCGGCACCACGATGAACAAATATATCAAAATCATAGCCAGTTCCACATGCATTTTTGCCAATAAGACCAGCTTTGTATGCCTAAAAATTGATTTTATTTATATATTCTAGTTAGACATTTAATTTAAAAAAAATACTTCATGAATAGCTGTTTGAACACTTGAACCTTCATTATAAAATTCTCCTCGAATATAAATATAAGCAGCACGTGCACCCATTGCATGACCAGCAATAAGACAACCTTCGATAAGCTTATGTGGATCATGGCGCATTATTTCTCGATCTTTACATGTTCCAGGTTCACCTAAAAAATTTTAAAAGAATTTATATATATAAAGGTCAAATCATTCATTAGATAAATCAAAACACGTGTATCTCGAGATGATGAACTTTCATAGATCTAATTTTCATGTGTTAAGTTACTCTAGACACCATGAAAAAAAATCAGATGTAGCTTGTGTCGTAGAGTCTATTCTGACGTTTTCGGATTTTTTTCTCATGTAGTTCGAGAGATATTCGCTTATTACTGTTTAATTAATCGTTAACTGAAAGAGCCAATATTTTTACATCTATCTATGCTAAAACACTTCATTCAGAAAAATAACCAGTGTAAAAGATGAAAGATGAGTATGTTTCATTTTGCCTGAAATAATCTGTATCTGTATTAATAAAAATCCATTATTTTACCTTCATCAGCATTGATGACTAAATATTTTGGTCGTCCATCGGGAGGTCTAATCATAAAACTCCATTTTAAACCAGACGGAAAACCAGCACCACCTCGACCACGTAATCCACTCTTTTTTATTTCATCAATAATCCAAGATGAACCTTTTAAAACAATTTCTTTCGTTTTATGCCAATCACCCTATTTAACATTTATATTTAAAGATAAATTTTTTTCAAAAAATGAAAACATACTCGAGCCATAGCTCCTTTTAAATGCCAGTCATGTCGACCATAGAGATTAGTAAAAATACGATCTTCATCTTTTAATGGACCAAATTTCGTCTAAAACAATATTAGGAGAAAATTAGTTATTTAAATTTTATTTATATTTTCAAGAGACTTTTTGGGGTGGAGCTGGAGGTGCTGGTGCTGGTGCTTGAGCTTTTGGTGGATTGGCTGCTGGAGGTGTCGATGTTGCTTGAGTAGCCAAATGTCGACTACTTAATTGAAGAACTATAATAAGAATAAAAATTAATTCATTTGTAAAACAAAAACAGCATTCAACTTACACGTGGCAAGTGGAAAACGCTTAGTGAGAGCCATTTGCCCACGTTTGAGAGATAAACAAATTTATTTCAATCTAAAATAGAGATCATTTTAAGAATATGTCTAAAGTTGTAAATAAAGCAAAAAGAATAAAAAGAGAAAATACGATAATATTGAATTCTTTGCAGAGATGTAAATCAGCACTGAAGACAGGAGAAAGAGAACGATGCATGAACATTTTTCAAAAAGACGGAAGACATGACACTCCCCATACGTCACATCCCTGATTCTTTGATAGAAATTAATTTAAAGTTTCTCTAAATTTAAACATTAGTTTTCTAAACTGTTTCTGAAAATTTTTTTTTAAATTAGAAGATTGTCGCAATGCTTGCAATAACTTAGAACGAAAAAACAAGGTGTTTAGAAATCCCACTATGAATTTACTTCCCATCCAAAACTATGGATGCAATGTTGACAGCGCTCACCGATGCACTGATCTAGACACGTACGTAAAAAATAACGGTGAGCAGAGCGAACACACAATAAAACTACGGATGATCCTAGATTGATGTCGACTTTTTTTATTTCGAAAGATCTATTTCAAGAAAATAGCTGAATTTTATAAAACATGACTAAATCGTGAGAAATAAATCCTTCGTAAGTCAGAAAATTGAACCCAAGAATTTTGACACGCCTTATATCGATTCAGACTACTTGATTTCGAAAATCTTTAGTCTATTTTTATTGAATTCAGCTATTTTATTGTAATGACCTTTCAGACCAGAAAAATCGAAACCAATTCAAGATCATCATAGTTTTATCATTCGTTCACCGTAAGTCTATACGTACATGTTCAGTTCAGTACAAAGTTGTACGTAAGACTGGTACCACACTATAAAAAAAATGGCGAAGAACAAAAAACTCTGACTATTCATTTATTACTATTAGATAAACCTTTTTTTCGCAAACCGTAGCAAAGATTGGTAATCCGCTACGAATTCGTATATCCTTGTACTGTTTTCCATGTTCATAAACTCTTTTTGGGTATATGAATACGGAGAACAGTACAAGGGTATGTAAGTTTCCAGTGGGTCATAAAGTCTTGCCGAAGTGTATGAAAAAAAAAAGATTTCTAATAGTAATAAATGGATAATGAGGGTTTATTGTTCTTCACTTTTTTTAACGATGCATCGGAGATACAGTGCACCGGTGCCACCAGTAGTACGATGTGCCGATGGACGGTGCACCTTCACTATTGCACCCATGTCAAAAGTCATAATTTCTTCAATCTAAAACGAGTAGGAAAAAATTTTTGTTAATAACAAAACTCTACACGAAAATCAATTTTCTTCTTGTTAGTAGAATATCAACAAAAACGAAATAAACAAAATGAAGTTTTCCTCTTTGTTCTTTTTTTTTACAAAAAAAACAAAAGTTAACAAAGGAACAATGAAGTAAACTAGCCTAGAATGAGAGATATAAAAGTTCTCTCACTCAACAACACACACACCACCAGCAGCTTCAATTTTAGCTTTCATTGTTTCAGCATCAGCTTTGCTTAAATTATCTCGAAGAACTTGAGGAATTGATTCAACTAGTTTTTTTGCCTAAAAATAAATTGAAAATTTTGTTTTTTTAGAAAACTCAACGTAAAAAGAAACTCATGGATATTTACTTGAACAAGATTAATATTCTCAACAACATCTTTTACTTGTTTGATAACCGGGACTTTCTTCGTTTCATCGAATTTAATCAAACGTACTTTAAATACCGATTGTGCTGTTGGTCGTGCACTTTCTTCTTCGTCTTCTTCTTTTTTCTAAAATATACACAGCAAAAAAAAAATCAATCAAACAATAGAATTTATTTTACGTACAGATGCAGTTGGGGCTGGTGCACTACTAACTCCTCCAGATGCCATGATTGGTACATCTTGAATCTTAAGTGTTTTCTAAACAAAAAGCAAGTCATAGGATTGAATTATCCATTTTTGAAAATAATTACTTTTAATAATTCATTCAAATCCATAACATCAACTAATGATAATTTACTTATTTCATCAACAAGTCGATGAATTTTTTCCGAATAAGTTTTATTGGGATCATTTGTACCTGATGTTGGCGGTGGAATTGGTTTTGTATCGTCTGATGATATATTAGTCGTTTTTGTTGGTGATGGAGTCGATGGTTTTTCCGTGTTAGCAGCAGGTTTTTCAGGTTTTGTTGCAGTTGATGTTTTTTCTTTTAATTTTGCTGCTGCTGATAATTGTACTTGAGTTAACGAAAGAAAACGATTGAAAATCAACGATGGTGTAGAACCTTGAATTGATCGAAATACGAAACGAGAATACATTTTCTCTTTTTCGGGATAATTAATTTATCTAATATTAGAAAACAGACAGTTTTTAGTTTAGAAAAACAAACTTAAAATTGATCTTCCAAAACTCAGTTGTTATGTTATATAAACTATTTTGAAAATATATAACTGGTTTATAGAATAAGCAATGATAGAATCAAGTTGAAGAATTGAGAGGATTGGATACTGTTCTAATGGCTGTACGATAAATGTTATTGATCAAATATTGTCCAGTAAAAAGAAAGCGATGTTGATGGATGCATAGACGGAATAGATCAACAAAATGAAAGTTTAAATTGTCATTCATTAAAATCTTTTAATTTAGTTATATGATGTCAACATGATATATCAACAAGCAATGACTATTAAATCATTATTGATACTAGACTATGATCCATTTGAAAATTTGATTTGTGTTTTTTATTATAATGTTCATGGGTCAGCTTCCTGAGAAATTGCTTATAGAAAAAAAGATTCATGTCACATAATCAAAATAATCATTCATCAGTTTTAATAAAGCATGTAAAAAAGAAAGTTAAACAAGATGGTGAACAACATCAAATTCTTAATTCTCGTCATTCATATCGACAAATAAGTCCAACAACATTAGAACCTCGTCGTGATTTACCATTACATAAAATTCCTGAACTTCTTGCTAAAATAACTGGAACATTATCATCTACACTTTCATCATCCGATACAAAACAATCATCTTCATCAATTGATCGTCGTGAACAATTATTTAAACATTATTCAGATAATAATCAATTAATGTCTATTGATGGTATTCTTCGTTTTTGTAATGATCTTTCTATCGAGCCGGATTCATATGAACTTCTTCTATTCTGTTTTCTCTGTCAAGCAAAACAAATGTATTCATTAATAAAAAATGAATTTCTTCTTGGTTTAAAAACTCTTGGAAATCATATTGATAATTTACTTGATCTTCGAACATCATTATTGAATTATAATATTTTACCTTATGAAAAAGAATTTTATATATGGACATATCATTATGGTTTAGTTGATGGACAACATCGTTTAACAAAACAAAATGCTATAAGTTTATGGCGTTTATTTTATTCAAAAAATATTGAAAAACCTAAAATACTTGATCCATGGTTAAATTATTTAGAAGATGATATAAATAATGAAATTCCTAAAATAATTACATATGATACATGGAGAATATTTCCTCAATTTGCAGAATTCATTCAATTAAATGGTTATCAATCATATGATGATAATGAAGCTTGGCCTTGTTTATTCGATGGTTTTGTTGAATATTATCAAAAGACAATATCATTATCTATATAATGATCATTTTTTTAAATAAAAATAAACAACATTTTTTTTTTCTTTCATGTCTTTTTTTCTCTTTAATAATGTATTGTTATTTTCCAACGAATTTGATGGTTAAAATTTAAATAAAAAAAAACATTTATATGTCTGTCATAGAAACAAAATTTATTAAAAAATCATCGATGACGAATCATAAAGAGAAAAAAAACTTATCCTATTTTAAAAGACCAATCAATTGTTCTCTTACATTTATTTACTTCTTTCTGACACATCAGCATATGGAATTAAACCCTCGATCATGAGTCATTTTTTTTTTCTTTTTCTAGATATAGATTTATTTGCACTTTTTGGAATTTAATCATTGAAATATTAAGAGAAAAGTAACTTTTTCTGACGCAAAAAAGAAAAATTTTAACTATTCATTTTGTTTTAGTGAGCAAGCCATTACTTAAACCGTTGAATTTTGAAAAAAACTCAATAACTAGTAATAAAAAACCAAATTCCAATAATGACGATATTAATCCTGTTATGTAAGATCTTTTGCTTTTTGAAAAAATTTTTCAAAATATATGAAAAAGTGTTTTCAACAAGAGACAAAATTTGATAAATAAAACTGAGCTGGTAGACATGATTACTTATACATAATTAATTCATTTTATAATTTTTGTTTCTGAATCATCATCTTGATGACACTATTCAATAGAGAGATTAACTTTATAAATAAGATAAAGTACTACCTAGAAAACGTAGAATAAATCTTTCATTTCTCATTTTAATAATTAGCTGTAGGAAAAAAGATATAAAACAAAATTTCCAGTATAGTTCACAAAGATTCTCATTACTCTGCGAATTAAAATAAAATTGAGATTTATTTTTTGTATAATTTGGAAGCGTCTATGAGATTTGTTTTTCGATAGTATCACGCTAAACACTGATGAAACTAGCGAGAAAATCTTCCCGAGTTATCAATCGCTTTGGAGATAAGTCTTATTGCATTAGGTAGATCTTATTAAAGTATTAGAAAGTCTAAAAGGATTCATAATTACAGGTGTTTCTTCTTGAATTATAGCCATTTTAGTGAAGTTTTCAACAAATTGTCAATCCTTCTTCCAGATCGCCTTCAAATTCGACCTTTCAGTTCATTGTGAGAATGTTAGATTATCTAGTGACAACAAAGTTTGCTTTTTTTGCATAATATAATTTTAAATATTAGTATCTGACGATAGGAGATACTAGAGAAATCAGATACTTTCACAATGAATTAGTTCCATTAAAAATTTTATGGCATAAAGTTTCAAATCGACAGTCGAAACCAGTTAACAAAAATTCGTTTGAGCCTTTTCTAATCTCAATAGGATCTACTAAATCAGATAGGACTCATCTAAAAACCTATTAATCTTTATTGAGAGAGTTTTCGTAAAACTAAATTCTTCTTTGTGTGATTAGTGGTAAAAGTTTAGTTCTGCTCATGTCTGAACCTAATGCATTCCAACAGAATTTAAACAATTCCTTGTTTGAATCCTTCTATAGTGGATAAGGATATACGAGCTACAATCTCTTATTTATCCGTTTGTAGCCGTCCCGGTTCATCATCCAATCATCGTGATCTCAGCACTGGTGAACTTCGTTTATCAGATACAAAAGTTGGTCTTGGATTTTCTTTTTATTTTATTGAATTATTGTAAAATTGTTCTTAATTAGTCATATAAATTTACGTCGAATGATTTGACTGATTGTGGAGTAATTGGAGAAGGAAATTTTGGTATTGTGTCTACAATGATGCATGAAAAAAGTGGAACGACAATGGCTGTTAAAGTAGCTAGTTAATGTTCATCTTAATATTTTTTTTTCAATTTTATTCAGCGTATTCGTTCGACTGTTGATGAACGGTGTCAAAAACAAATAATTAAGGAATTGGATTTTGTTATGCGTGACAATACCTGTCCACATATTGTACAATTTTATGGTGCTCTTTTTAAAGAAGTTATTATTTTAAATAGATTTTTTTTCTGGTATACATATACATATATATATTCACTCATTTAGGGAGACTGTTGGATATGTATGGAACTAATGAATACATCACTGGATTATTTTTATAAATTTGTTTATCATAAACTTGATCAATTTATACCAGAAAGTATTCTTGCTTATATAACATTTGCGGTAAGGTTATATATATATATATATATTGCTTTTATGATATTTTGTGAAACACAGTCTGAAAGGAGTGCTAAATTATAAGGTCACAAATTTGAACATCATCCTCCACTAGAGTACGTCGAGTTCCGAGCCTGAAAATTTTGAATTCAAAGAACTCTAGTCACATGAGAAATATGTAGGGTTCACTTGTCACTGAATACAAAAAACTAGAACAAATTATCTCAAATCCTCTGGACAACTATTCAATTCTGATTATAAAACTTCATTGAGAGTATCAAAGTACAGTTTGACCAGATCCAGAGAAGTTTTATCAACAAGTTCTAGGTCCAAAAATGTTGTACCCGACGAGTTCTACCCTCCAAAGACCTTGATAAACATCAATTAGAGGCTAACATAATTTGTGATAGACGTTGTTCGTATTGAATCGCAGACCGTATATCAAGAACATTTCATTCACATATATGACCTACTTTCTTATTGCATTTCTGAAAGATTAGATAAAACGATGATGAAGAAATATATCTCATAATAGATAGAATAAAATAATCTTTGTATGATTTTCAAAAGCAACTAAATCATGCGTTACATTTTAATCCTGCAGAGATTGTGTTAATAGCTTTTATTTTAATTTGATAGACACTGCAAGCACTTGATTACATAAAATCTCGTTGGGAAATTATACATCGAGATGTCAAACCATCGAATATTTTAGTTTCAAGAACAACACTGAAACTTTGTGATTTTGGTATAAGTGGTCAGTTAATTGATTCTATTGCTAAAACACGTGATGCTGGTTGCCGTCCATATTTACCAGTAACAAAAGAGCGAATAGTAAATATTTTCTGATAATTTTCTATTTTTAAGCCTGAACGTATTGATCCAACACGAGCAACACGTGATGGTTATGATGTTCGATCTGACGTTTGGTCACTTGGAATAACACTTGTAAATAATTTAATTGCACGAAAAGACGTTATGTCAATCTATATGTTTATATTGCAGTATGAAATATCTACTGGATATTTTCCATTTCGAGAATGGACATCAGTATATGATCAATTAGAACAAGTTGTTGAAGGACCTTCATTAGAACTTAAAATTGATCGTCTTTCTGATAATTGTAAAAATTTTGTAAATACATGGTAAAAATAATCTTTAATTATTTGATTTTATTTAATTTTAAAATTTTTTCTAGTTTAAATAAAGATGAAAATCAACGACCAAAATATAAACAATTATTAAAACATGAATTTTTACGAAAAGCAAAAGAAATACAAACAACTGAAAATGTTTCTGGCTACTTATCTCATATAATTGATGGCCTTGAAAAGAATACAGATACGTTTAAATTATATTATTATTTACCTGGTAATTCTTAATGAATAGATTTTTTTTTTTTTAATTTTTATCAGTATTTAAAATAGTCTTTAAGACATTTTTCCTTCGCCATTTTTCCTTTTGATGCTATTTTTGTTTCATTGTCTGTTTTTTTTGATTTGACGAATTTTATTTTGTTTAAAAAAAAAGAACTTATACAATAAATTTTTGTTGTATTAAATTGTTAAGTAGTAGAGCTTGGATAATATTGGATTGATGACCGTTAAGCATTAAAATTTCGACGCAAGAAATGTGAAGCGCCAGAACTAATCAAAACTAATAATATTAAAGAACACACTTTCTTATGCTTCTAAAAGTGCTCTATCATGTTGTTATGTTTTACAACGTTTGAAAGAAACGCTGAGTTTTTCTGAAAAAAAAAAACACTTTTGGAAAAGCACATGTTCGAGTCTCACAATATTATTTATTTAATATTTCTGCTTAACATTTGTGTAACAAAACTTGTGATAGCTTCTTATAGAAAATTAAATTGTGAATCTTTTTAATAAAAACATTAAGGCATGGCAAGGAACCTTGATGGCGATATATAGAAAATACTTTGAGAAACATTTATTCTGCGTACTCGTTAATTCATTGTTACTTTTGCTATTAATTACAAGGATTTGTTCATAATTGCATACATAAATATTATTCATCCATGTGACGCATTAATGATACTAGTTGTTTCTGGTACTCAAGTTTCCTTGATTAATATACCGGTCTTCAATAACATTAGTTAGGAAAACATTTGAAAAAAATTCTTTTATTGATAAAAAGATACTTTTGACATTCATTACTTAAAATGAATAATGGAAAAACATAGACCACTGAACACTTTTGTTTTCATAACATACGAATCTATAATCTGTTTGATGTGCTGAATCAGAAAAGAACACTATCACATATTTGAAAGAACGAAAAAAAACATAAAAATGCCTATTGATTCCTTAAAAACAGTAAAAATAGCCGTTTTTTTTAATTTTCATTGTTGGAAAAATTTTCTTTAAGAGAAATCATTGTCAAAGGAAAAAAACTACTTTATTCCAGATAACTTGATGTGCTCTATTCAACCATGCATAGACATCATGAAAAAAACGTTTTGTGGAAATTTTGCATTTGCAAGACCGACAAAAAAGTACATTTTTGTTGGATTTTACCTTTCGCTTTATCATCATGTTGCTCGTCTTTTTTTGGAGCGATTAAATACGTGTGATAATGTCCTTTTGTTTTGTATTTTATCATTAAAACTCACCAAAGCATCTATTTGCATTATGTTATTTACAAAGGAAAGAACGGCATAATTTATTGACGTCATCAAACTTGTTTCATCCAAAAACAACGATATATCTATAAGTGCAGTATTTCTTATGTTGACTTGAATAATTGTAGACTGCTTTTTCAAATATATTACTAAATAACAAGTCGATTAAGTAATGGAGCATTAGAACAGCTCAAGTATAAACTTCTTTTGAGAAACTGATATGATATAAAAATTTTGAATTTTTTTTCCGTTCAGCAGTACCACATATTCAGGAAATCGGGATACTGGAGAAGTGCAGGAAGATGTGCTTGAAAATACGGCGTCTCTTCAGAGTATACGCAAATGTTATCCCTATACCTGCTGTAATGAATTGTCTGTTAATAGTTAGTTTGGCATTTTCAGCATTGTCCTGCACTTCTCCAGCATCCCCAATTTCCTGGATATATGAGACTTCTCGTTTTGAAGCTGATGATTACTGTATTAACAATAAAAGATCAAAAATTTCTACTTCGTAAAATTATACCATACCATTAATTGTTTATTGCTATTATTATACAAGTTTTATTTTACAATCTAACTTTTTATTATGGAGAATAAGACATGTATTTTAATATGACGAAATTAACAAGAAATATTATCATAAAAATTCGATGATTAAATACAATCCAACTACGAACAGAACATTTTGTTTTAGATTTGAGATCAATTACAGGAACACGATAAATATCAACATATGTTCACATGTCTAAATTAAATGAAAGTTTTTATAGAAAGTTTCAAGTGAAAGTTTTCTGCATTCTCAAGGTCATCTTTCCTTGGTTGCATGGTCCAGACTCCCACATGTAGCCCTACTTTACTAAAAAGATATAGGAGGGTTAAGGTAAGAAATAACGAACGCCACAGGATGCACATCTCGCAGGGCCTGCAAAATTCTGCAGTGCAGGACGTAGTGGCTCTTCTGCAGATAAACTAAGGCCATCGACACATTAAAAGATACGGAGTCTTCTATTTTGTCTCATTGCTCATAAGTTACAAGGGGCTCTTCTATTTTATCCTTCAAAAATGTCATATTTTTTGGCAGTCTCGCCAACAAACCTTACTTTCAGTTCGTTTCTGCCCAATACATCAGTAGTAAACTAGTTTATTTCACTTATCCCACACGCGTAGAATGAGAAAGAAACAGATAATGTGCTTTGAAAAAATAGCATTCTTTTTTTCTAAATAATAAGACCTGTCACTGGCAACATTTTATATTATGAATAACTAAGTAACCGAAAAAACAATTGATATTTTTTTGTCAAACTTATTTAGATTAATTGATTATGTTGAGGTTTGAATAGTATAGATGGAACTTGATCACAATGAAGTCTACTACTAGCATAATTATTAGTCTCAAGTTAACTTCAGTGACTATCATTATCTTGGGAAGAAACAGTTTATAGACAAGCAGCAGTTGAATACATATTTTGTTTTTTTTCTATTTTGAGAGATGCCTTTAGATCTTGTTGAGAAAATAAATGCGTTCTCAAATTCATAAGAAGTACTCATAGAACAAACCTCGACGTATATACATGAAGTTATGTTGTCTTCAATGATGAAAGATAGTTTTATGATAAAAATATTTCTGAATTTCTAGAAGAAAGTCGAAGGCGAAGAGACCTCTTAATAAATACATAATGGGATTTTACCGAATATTTGCCTATTTTAGAAAGATCTCTCTATGTGTTACACGCGTGAACGTGCACTGCATTCATTAGATTCTATGAACATGGAAACTTTTTTTTTCGCATAGAGAACATTAAGAATTTTTCAGAGTAGGCTGCAAATGAGCACTAAAATGACTCTGCAGTAGGTTTTCAATAAAGAAGTGCATTTTTAGTAGACAGTTGTTACCTATTAGCTGTTTCTCAAGATTTTTTTAATTCGGAACTGACACGTCACCATGACGACGGAAGCAAAATATTGTCCATTTTGAACTTCAATATCATTATGAACTTACATACTAAAAACGTCAATCAGCTCGAGAAATTATTTTAAAAAAATCTGTTTTCTAAGGGGATCCTCTAAAATGTCTTTGGTTTCATTTACCAAAGGGGGATCTTCTAATGTGTCGAAGGCTTTATTTCGTTTTGCATTGGTCCTGTACATGCAGGAACAGGAAAAGCTTTTCTGAGAACGCAGAACCTGCAGGATAATATTTGAGTCCTGCAGGACACAATCCGAAAAAACTCTGCGAAAAATTAATGAGCTATACAAATGACTTGAGATCAACAGAGAGCTCGATACAACATTTATTGGTCAACAACTTCTGAGATTTATTTTTTTTGCGATTTTTCTATAAGATTTCGCTTTATATTTTATCATCAGAACGAAGGCATTAGGCTAACGACAAGTACCTATTATCCATTTCAAATTAAAAGAAGGGTGAGTATTTTTGGAATAATTTTCGATAGGAACTAGATATAGATAAAAAAGTCCTGTGACGTTTTCTGGTAAGAAATGTTAGAATAAGCGAAGCTCAGAATAGAGTAAGGTAAGTGTGGTACAAAAAATGTTTTGGGTTAGAATTAGGGTGCTGTTCACATTAGTAAAAGCTTTTTGGTCAACAACTTAGAAGACTCTTCTGGCATCTTTCTAGTTTAAAACAAGTCGGTCTTTATGTTAAAACGAAATTAAGTTTTGCTAAAGAAGAATCCGTGCTGACCTAGTGGAAAAAATAGTCATTGAACAATTTGCAGCTTTGTGTACTGGCAATATGGCTCTTCGAAGTTTCGGCAAGTTCAACTATAATTGAAAGTATTTTCAGCGCAGGTCGGCAAGTTTTGGAAGAGAAAATATAGAATTTGAGCGGCGACATTATTAAGAGCATTTTAGTCTTACGAAACTTTCGAAGTATATGATCATTTTGTACTTCATTATATTTGGGAGTCAATAAAATGTTCTGAAACATAATGAGGAAAACTTTATGTTGACGTCTGCCAAAATTTGGAAATCTTAGGATAGGGTAGAAAGTTCATAGAGTACTGTAGGGTAAGGGTGCGAAGCTTGTAGAATAAGGTAGGACAAGGGTACGAACATCGCTGTAGGGTATGGCATAGGGTACAAGAAGATTTTACCTTGTAGAACTCTGGCATGATCAAATGACAGAAGAAAGAAACATTGATGATGTCCAATGTAGTGATCGATATGCATCAGGTATTTCATCATCTTCGAATTTCTTATCTTGTGAAGTTAATTCATTTCATTATTATCTTTGAATTCAGCTAAAAAAAGAATATTTTTAATATATAAGATAACGATCAAGAATAATTTACAAATCGATCATTCGTCCAATACTATTCCACCATCAAATCCATTATCTTCACGTTTACTCGAAAAATTGAAAAAAAAAGAAATTAATCTTTTAAGATTAACTTTTTAATTCTTGTTCTCAAATGATTTCTCCGAATTAATTTTATCATTATTAATTTTATTATCTGCTTTTTCAATGGCTGTTTACATACAGCCTAGTCATTATTATCATTTGTGTTACTTGATAGTACAGGGTTGGAAATAATATTATTCCAGGGGGGTAACGCTACAATTCTGAATACCAACCCTAATGAATTTTATACCAAATGAAAGCCCGTAAAAAATNTCATCAATCCTATGTCAATTTTGACGATTAATCGCAACTAGAGACGGTATTTCCAAAAAGACGTCAAAATCATTTACATATAAATTATCCGTATATTTTTTATTTTTGAAAGCAAGACAAACTAAATTTTTATGATTTTGTCTTTTAAAAAATATTTTCAGTATTTCCATGACATTATATCTGATAGCCACTTCAGACTGATTCAGCCATGAACATTATAATTTTTCAGCTATTGTATAATCCATCTTAGAATTTTAGAAAAATTATTTTAATCAGTTGTAATTTCGACGATAGTTATTATTTTACACAATAAACTATATACTTTTTTTTATTTAGAGTAATATCAACTTTAATATCATCGGTAAATATAATTTATAAAAAAATTATATTTTTATATTTTTACAAGGAGAAAGAAAAAAAATTTATCCTTATCACTCAGAAGAAGCTCATGAGAATATAACGATAAACGATGTCATACACGAAAGTTTACAATACTTATAATTCTCGTGCTAGATTCCTAATAAGATTCCCAGGCGGTTCCTGTCGTGACTCCTTGAAGATTCTCTTATGAACCACTGACTAGAATTATTCATTCAATAGTGACATGAGAAGGTATGTTACTGAATATTTTTTTTTATCACGAGTATCACTTCGATATGTAATATTATTAAAAAATGAAGTTGATGCATGCGAATATATATACAAGCAACTTTTCCGTATATTTGATTTGTATCGATGATATCATAAATCTTTGTGCACTACTTGGCAAAAATTAAAAATTAAGTTCTCACAAAAACTTTTTCTTATTAGTTTTTATCTTAATTGTTTACTATTCAGAACAATAAAAATAAAGTAATACCCAGAATTCAGAAGTTTTGTCTGATTTGCAATTGGTTAATTATGCGCCAACTTTTTACCAGAGCAAAAAATGATATACGAAGAATCAGTAATTTTTGGATAGTTTTAACTCACTCGAAACCATTATAAACCAACGTCCATGTTAATCAGTGGGATTCCACAATCACTTTATCTATCTTAACATATGTCTAAGATATAATATAAGAGAAAACATGTTTATTGAAAAAAGTCAATTCGTTCTTTGGATAGAGAACATTTAAAAAAGTAAAATTAGAGTACTCATTCGCAAAATTAGCAATACCATGGTTTTTGACTAAAAAATGACAACCCAACAAAAGTCATTAGTCATTGCTAAAGACTAGTTTTGAACAATATAATTAGCTTAGATAATAATCATGTTTTTCATGACGAATAATGATTTTCATAAATTATGAATCTTTCCGTATCGTACAGCATCTTTTCTCTCATGAGGAAAGGTTTCCAAGTGCGACTTGCTATTCGAACTGATATTTTGTCCATAAATAGGTCCCAGTGGAAATAATAGAAATGTATAAGGGTTCATCTCATGCGCTGTCCTTTTCAAATTATTACAATTTTGCTCAATTTTTTATTCTTGCTGAAATATTTGTGAAACAAAAATCAAATTAAAAAATTTCAGCTTCTAATCTCGTCGGCATTAGAATGCTCTGAAAATTTGAGCCGAAAGAGATGTGTTGTTTTTGATAAAACAACTATTGAAAATACTGAGCTTTCTTACCTTTCCTTACGACACATGATTATTTTTCGATATTCAATATCTTAAGAAGAACATATCATTTTAGACTCAAATCTTCAGGACATTCTAAGATCCACGATATTTGAGGTTGAAATTATAATAATTCGATATTGTTACAAATATCTCACCAGTGATAAAAAAATTCAGTAAAGTTGTAATAATTTGTAATGGACCATGAATGAAGAGAAATCCTTATGGGCTTCTTCTAGTCTTGTCAGGACCTACGTATGAGCAAAATATCAGTTCGACTAACGAATTACACTTGTGTACCTTCTCTCGTAAGACTTAGGACATTACGTAGATAATAAGTACAGTTCCAAGACGATTACATTCGTTTTTCTTAACTTTCAAACTTGATTTCATTCAAAAAGATAGATATTCACGTGAACAAGTTGTTACCATTTTATCAATATACTAATACAAGATAAATTTTATGCAATATTTTCATTCAATTATCAGAATATTTAATATAACTAAAGTTAAAAAGATGAAAATAAATCTTTTCTGTATGAATTATTCTTATGAAATTAGTTGTAAATTAAGTTATGAATATTATATTTGGTTAGTCTAACGTGAATAAAAGCAAAACAAACATGTATATAGAACTAAATCTTAGTAAATCGTTCTCCGCTATTGCTTCGTTCAATCTCCGCAGAAGGATTAATTGTTTGATATTCATTAATATTTGAACTTAACTTTTGTTGCATATCAAATATTTGTTGTTTCATATCACGAATCTAATTTAAGAAAAAATAAAAACAATTATAATAAATATTTAATTGAAATATCTTTTACTTGTTCATCTTTTTGTTGAAGTATTTTATATTTAACTTCAATATTTTCATATGGATCATCTCTATTAAATCAAAATCATTCATTTGAAAAAATCGAGATTAAATTAATTTACTCATAAATATCATTTAAATTTCTTTTTCCAAGTAATTGTTGAGCTCGAAAACTTTCATAATGAAGATCACTTGTAACATCTTTTAAATCTTGAAGATGTGTTCTAGAAATTATTTCTTAAAAAATATTTTTTATTTTATTAATCAATCTTACTTGCATAGCATTTCACGTAAATGAGGTAAATCACTGTATTTTGAATCTTCAACATCAACTACACCCCACGGATAAGTTCTAGCACGAATTTTACGTCCATTTGATTCAAGTGTTGTATTACTACCCATTATAGCAAATGGAATTGATTCCTTTTTTTCAACGAAGAAAAAACATGCTCAATGAAAAATCAATGAAAAAAAAATTTTTTACTCGTAAAACTTTATCAAGTGTATGACTATCTTCATCTTGTTCGGGATCTCCTTCAGGAAAATCATATAATTGTACTCCATATTTATCAATATCACTTAATAATTGTTTTTTTAATGCTGTTAATTCACTTTTAAGTAAAGTATCTGCTTTAGCAATAACAGGTATTATATTAACTTTATGTTGAAGATGATGAAGAAAATCTCGATCAATTGGTCGAAGACTTTTATTTGAATAAGAAAAATAATCATAGAAGAAATTATTGAAGATATATGAAATTAATTTACCCTCGAATACTTGGTGGTAAAAAATATAAACAGCAATGAACACGTTGATCTTGAACATATTTACGTTCGATACCAAAACTTGTTTCAGCTTGAAAATATTTAAGAAATTGTTGATCAATAAAATCAAGTATTGGTTTCCAACTAAAAACTTAAAATAAAATCAAAATATAAAAAGAAAAATTAACTAAACCTTTCAGCGGAATTCATTCCATCACCAAAACCTGGTGTATCAACAACAGTTAAACGTAATTTAACACCTTTTTCTTCTAATTCAACGGTACGAGTTTCGATTTCAACTGTCTTTGGTGGATGAACTAAAAATAAAAAATTATGTTTTTTTTCTATTTTATCTTTCATATTCTAGTTTATTTTACGTCGAGCAGATGGTGGTCGATCAGCATAAAGTTCTGTCATGAATAAAGTATTAATAAATGTTGATTTACCTAGACCATGTTCGCCTATCGAAAAAGTATGATTTTTATTAAAAAATACACAAATCAAAGTCAAGTACAAACCAACAACCATAAGTGTAAATTCAAATCCTCGTTTAAGTGTTTTTCGATGTATCTGATCAGGTAATGTTGAAAAGCCGATTGTTTCCTGGAATGTTAATGGTTTTGAAGATGTAGAATCAATAGAAGTTCTACTTTGATGTACAGATGGTACATCACGTGTAAGGGTATTAGAAGAACTATTTTGTTTTTTTAATAAACTCAAAAACGGATTTGAATTTATGTTCGGAGGTGTTGATGTGGAAGAAAAACTCATTTTTTAATGTGTATGTGTGCAAAGATTTATCTCTTTCGAATGTTGATTTGTGAAAAATGTCGAGGCCTCAATAACCTTCATAAACTTTAGTGATAAGACAAATAAAAAAAAAAAAAGAAAATGCGAAAAAAAAATAAAAAGACGCACATTGCATGCTGATTGGAGATCGATACACTTTCGTCGACGTCCACTACCACGATTTGTTGTTTGACGTTCAAAGGAATCCGTGGTCATCGTTTGTGTTTTTTCTTTTTTTATTGAAAATCAAATGATCAACAGATTTGATTTAATGAACAACATCTACAAACGAAAATGAAAAGGAAGAGAAAAAGAAAAAGAAAGAATTTATGTTAGAATGATTGTATCATCGTTAAGAGAACAATTGTATGTAGTAATACAAGCTAAAAGAGAGAGAAAAAAGAAAGGTGTTAGGTAGTAAGAACATGCATGTGTAGTAAGGATTTTATTACCACATCACTTCCAAAAGGTTGGTGTCTATAATGCTGAATGAAGTGCATTGAATATAAGCGAGGAAATAAAAAAAAATCAAACACATCAATCAATATACTAAGAAAAGGAATTTGAGAAGATATATGAACAACAGCAATAACAGTATATAATATATGAAAACACATCAATCTTTTTTGTTTTATATAAATGCTATTTAATTGTTTCAAAGATTTAATCCATTGATCTTCGGTTAGATAAGAATAAATGTTCTTAATCTTGCTTATTATGTATTGTTGATGTCAATTGAAAGAGATTTTTTGTGCAAATGATTTATGTGTTTTATTGTTATACCTGTTTGATAGAATAGCTCGTGATTGGTGTTATCTTTTCACGTGTAAGTTTTTTAATCTGTTTTGACCTTTTATTGTATACATAATTCTCTAGATTATGTGTCTATTTTTAAACAACTTTTGTTTTCATTTTTTTTTAATGACTTATGATATATGATCCTTAAAAGGTAAATGATTTGTTAAAAATGTGAGAAAAATAAATCTCGTAACCTTGAGTTGTTGTGAAAGAAAAACTTTGTTATTTTTCAATCATAATTAGCATTTATCAAACAAAATATGATTATTTTCAATGTATATCGATCTAGACTGTAGATACAATAAAAATTACGCATCCATCGAGGACGACCGAAGCTAATCGACATTCGGCAGATACTTTCATAATCACAGTACGGTTTTCAAATTTTTATTATATATGAAAAAGTATTCTATTTAGTTTCTTCTAGAAAGAGAGACAACAAAATGATTATAGTCAAATTCCATAAAAAAAAGCAAGTGATTTAGAACTTACATGGTGTCTTTCTGCTTCTAAAACTCGATCAATTTCGTCAAGTATACGTTTGCTTGTTGCTGATAAAGCAGGAATGGAACGTAGCGTTGGTATCAAACGTCGTAATGATGGATGCATACATGAATACTTTTTTTATTTCGATAGTACATGTTCATCTTTTTCATACTTTATTTTTCTCTTCATGTATTCACTGAATGCGTCATATGGTTCATCGTCATCTGTAGCTGAATTTTCATTAAAAACAACTTCGTTTAGTAAAACAATATCGTTTTCCATTGCTCTAACATCTTCTCAAATATGATGAATTTCTCCATCATGATCGCACTGGTTTTCATGTTTATGCTTTTATATAACTTAGCAATTTGAAAAAGTAAAAATATTTTGAAACATCAAGATCTCATTAACTACGGGGTCAGATTTGGGCATGACATCGTACTCTGCACCCGAACTGAGTAAATGAGTTTGTACCTCGGCCCATGTTCCGGGCCGGGTATCCGATCCGGTTGTAGGACACTACTTTCCAGCATGAGTACTCAAGTAACTTACACAAGTGCTCACGAACATTGTTATGCGTATATCTGTTACAGATGATTTCAAAGAAATATCATAAAACAAGTTGATTTTTCGTTATTATACACAGCTACTGTGCCAAATCCTTCCTGATGTTAAGACTGAAATAGTTTGTTCTATGAAATTTTAACTAATAAATCCTTTTACATTTGATACAATGTAAGCACAAAATAACTTGTGAACAACACTGATTATATATACTAGCTCAGGTGACAAATCTAAATTAACAATAATCAGCAAATCACAAAAAAATCAACGTCAATATCTTAGCAAACACTACAAACAATGTATCCAAAACTGTTCCGACGAAAAAACGTTCTGACTTAGGACAACTTTAAGTAGCAAATATTTCATGATGGCCAATGATATAAATCATAGAAATAAAAAGGTATCTGATTTAATACCATTTTAAGTTTTCAAATGGTGAAATAGGCAGATCAAGTAATGAAAACTGAGTCTATTTCTGTTGAAAAAAATGTTTTTTGTTTGTTAGACCAATAATGCTAAAAACTATAGAGACCAATACTATCGAAAAGTAACTTACGTCAAACAGATCTCTAAAAAATTCCTATTGCCTGAAATTTTAATCGAATTTGCATCACTCACTTTCAAATCTGCTACAGAAAGCATGAGTCATCGATGATAAACATCTTACCAGAAAGAATAATCCTAAAATAAATGATGTTGTTTGATTTTTCTCTTTCATTTGTTGTTGGCAACCATATTTTCAATGGTAACTATGTGGAGTTTGTTCTTGAGTGTCAACAAAGAAAAAAAAACACCCACATTTGACGTTGTAGAGAAATGCAGAAAAAAAAACGCTGACATCGAATATACAAAATAGAAAAAGTGAACTTTGCCCAAACAACAATCTATTATTCACAATGCTCGAGTACCGATCCAACAGCAAAGTTACATAAAAAATGAGTCGACAATAAAAACAACGCATGAATGAAAAAATTGCGCGCTATCGTTAATGAAGTCTACCCATGCACAACGGCCGAACAATGCATTGAAAAGTTCCAGAAAAATAATGAAGAGACATCATTTGTTATCTCCTCTGGTGCACTTGGGCAATACCTCGTACCAGACATTCATGCGATGCCGAAACTGTATGCCATATACATCTTTTGTGGCGACAAACAACGTCATGCAGCATGGGCAAAAAACTAGGTCCAAATCAAGGGTATCCGTACGTCAGTCAAGCCCATATATAAAGCACTGAAAGTGGCTGTCAAGCAATGCAATCAAGACCATATAATTGTCAGTATTATTGGTGTCAATGAAGGAGATTCTAGCGAAAATCCCAATCAGTTAGAATCATCCTTCATGTATACCCAAATATTCAAGGAAATACTCCTTAATATAGAACTTAACCAAGAGACTGTCCAAGATTTCGTCACTTTTTGCCAACAAAAATACCAGGGCAATCCGAAAGAATTCAAACTTATTGAAGAATTTGAATGCACTTATGGTCCATCAAAGGCCATTTGGTGGTATACACACCAATGTTTCACGTTCAAATGCTCAATCGAGCATTCCGAATACTTGATGGTGACATCATTATAAAAATGGGATTTTATCTTTGTGATTTATACCGACATACCAAGGAGTTACACAATAAACAGGTCGGTGAATATCATAGAAAGGCCTTTCTAGCCTTTCTAGTTTATCGAGGACAACGATTACTGAAATCAGATTTCGAAAAACTCACAAAAAGCAAAGGTGGACTTATATCTTTCAATAATTTCTTATCCACCAGTAAAATTCGAGATGTGTTGCTCGGTTTCGCCAACAATGTTTTAGGAACAGCCGGTACAGTGAGTATCCTTTTTCAAATGGCTGTAGATCCCACGATTTCATTGACTCCCTTTGCCTTCGTCCAGGAGGTGAGTGATTTCGCGCAAGAAGAGGAAATCCTCTTTTCCATGCAAACCGTTTTTCGGATTGGTGAAGTCCAAAAAATTGACAACAAAAGTTCACTCTATGTAGTGAACTTTAAACTTACAACAGATGATGACCATCAACTCAGTCAATTAACTGATCGTTTATGAGAAGAGGTCAGCGGTACTCGATGGTGTCGAATGAATAAATTGCTGCTTCAGATAGGTCAATTCGACAAAGCCGTAGAATTCTATACTGCACTATTAGAACAGACATCCAACGATAGTGACAAAGCACATATCTATCACCAACTCGAATTAGTGAAAGGGAAGCAAGGAGAATACAAAGATGCAGCTTCATCTTTTGAGAAATATCTCGAAATCAAGCGAAAAAAAATCTCCCGGAAGACCATCCTTCACTGGCTACTATCTACAACAACATCGGCCTTGCGTACAAACGACATAGGTGACTACTCGAAAACACTTGAATTTTACGAAAAAACACTTAACATAAGAGGAAAAACTCTACCCCCACTCATCCGGATTTGGCTCAATCCTACAGCAATATCGGTGGAATGTATAATGACACGAGTGATTACTCGAAAGCACTTGAATTTTTTGGAAAAATCGCATAAAATTCTCGAGGAAACTCTGCTTCCAAATCATCCAGATTTGGCTTTTCCATACAACTGGTTGGGAAGGGTCCGTCGGAATAAAAAAGATTGCACAAAGGCACTTTCATTTCATGAGAAAGTATTATATATTCAAGAAAATGTTCAATGTAGTCCTGTGCAATGTGCAACGATATATGCAAATTTAGGTGAAACTTATCGAAAAATGAGGGATTATTCAACGGCATTGACATATTTTCTGAAAGTATTCGAAGTACGTGAAAAGAAGCTACCAAAAAATCATCCTGATCTAGCTGTAATATATCATAATTTGGCGAAATTATATTTGTCAACTCGACAACATGGTATGGCAGTGAACAATGTTCAGCAAGCCATAGACATTGCTGAAGAGAAATTAGCTTCAAATCATCCTCATACTGTGGACTATATAGAAGCATTCAAAAAAATTCGAAAGAAATTGTAAATTTGTTCTCATTGCTATTCATCCTATCTGGGCTCATGATCATGTACGCGCATGTGACTAGGAAAACCTCCCTAAGTCTGAAATGGGTACACGCAGAATGAACCACGCCGACCTGGTAGGGCAATGAACGCGGGTATGACGTACAACAACGACAACAGGACCTATGAACATAGCAAATTTTCCGAGTACTACACTGATTTCGTCATAACAGACACAATGAATCTCCCTGGGTCAGACTACAAAACCATCCGACACGGTACGATCATAAACCAAGACAAACTTCCTCACAAGTATATAACTCTACAATCGAAATAAATTGATATACAAAACAATTGTATTTTATTGTAAATATCGCAATGAATGAATATATATAAAAGAAAAATATTTTATCCAGGATACGTTATGTTTACCTTATCAAAAAACTATCTTGAGAAGTACTATAGGCACCTAGGACCAGTGGCCACGAAAGTGCGGGAGTGTACACCCTCCAACAATTGAAAATGTTCAACTTTTTTCAGTGGCAACAGTAGATTTTCTGTACGTGTTGCCCTTTTTTGCAAAATTCAGTTGCCAATACTCCCTTTACATCCCCAAAACTCCTCATCTCCCCCCCTCCCACCGATCGTAGGTCCTTTGCATGGCTCCTAGCTAGAACTTCTCAACTTATCTATTTATATTCCTCCTCAATTAGAAAAAAAACCTAAACTTAGTTAGTACTTTGCTATTTTTCTATTCTTCTTTGTAATAGAAAAAAAATGATAAGAAACATATCCTATTTGAGATTGGAATATATGAATTATTACCTAGATCTTTAATAATGATTTTAGTACACTCCTAAAAATGAAAATCCTAAAACTGTTACACTACACCATATTTTGTTCTTAATAAACTTGATGGCACACCCTGAAAAAATTTGTCAGAGAAATCCAGTGTATATGATTCGATACAGTTTCATTTCATCTTTTAAACAGTGAAAATCGCAGATTTCTATCTTGTTCCTAACAAAAGTTATTCCAGAAATATCAATCCTTCTTGTATTTTGAAATGAATAATAGTTGGTAATTGGTGAGAATGACGCGACAAACAATACGGTACGATACTTATTATCTTTCAGACATGAATAAACAATTGCTATCTGGCAATGAATGGGTGTGGGTAGAATTAATTTTGGTTGAGTATTATAATGATTAGAAGATAATTCATTAGATTTGTTGGTATGATGATGACCCTGGATAAGGTTCTTAATAATATAGATCATATGGTTTTTTATTACTGTTAGATAGCGAGAGGTGAAGATCGACATAAATGAAAATAAGGACTTGAGAATGTGAATGTGTTGTTCACTTCTGTATATAAGTCATCTCGAGATATTGATTTCTCTAACATAGTTTGAACGAATTTCTAGTGACTCACCGTTCTCTAGAATATGGCGTCAAAAAGTACAAATTTTGTTACGACAAAAAATACGCGAAGTACGGAGGTCAAATGTGTACGTGACCAGCTACAGAAATGCAGCACTTCGCAACGCATTGAATCATTCATACAAACTAAATGGATCGTGAGTTAAAGAAAGGAAAAAGCTTTTTTTCATCTTCAAATGTTCGCTTCTCAAGTAAGATTAAATATTTACTTAAATGTAAAAATAATAACTCGTTCGATTACTTAAAAAACAACTAAGAACTTGTGTGAGAAATCGATTACATATTCATATTATGAAGACATATACATCATAGTATAGAAGAATCGATTAATTTTTGTTTTAAATGACGAAATAAAAGACATTCATCAATTTAAAAACTATCAATTGGTTCTTTTAGTAGTAATAAACATTAACTGTTTATTTTTTATATGATGTCTCAATTTTCTTGAACAATTTGTTTTATTGATGTTTTTCTACTGATACTCTACTGTTTTCGAATATGTGTTTTCGCTGACTATTACTTTATTTTCTAAAAATAGAAAGTTTTTCTCTATTCTATATACGAAAACAACAAAGGTATATTGATGTCTCTGGTTCCCAAACTGATTGCACCTTTCAAAATTTTATTGTACATGTCTTGTCTTATATTGTTAGTTGTATACTTAAATAAAACAGATATATTGCAACAATACCAAACAGAATATATACTTATAAGTAATTTTACATCAACCACCAGAGAACACTCACGAAACACTAAATACTTCAAGGCAAGGATCTTACTGTCATAATCAGATCCCGGTACGAGTACTATTGATGAGTATTTTTACTAGGAATCGATCCAACATCAATGAGAATATTCTGCATGCCGCTATGTTCAACACTCTGTTATTAATCGTTGTAGGAATCAGATTTGTAAACTTGAAATTCTAAGTTTATTAATCAGAATTGTAATACAGAATTTACGTACAAGCTCTGGTCGTATAAAATTTGACATGAAAATTAATTCAATAAAAAAATTCATTTAATTTTTTTTCTTNATGTCTAGTCATTACAGTTAATGATTGATCAGATTATTTAATTTCATATTTGTAAATATGATATTTTTTTATCTCGTGCGCAAGTTGTACGTGCGCATCTTGCAGTGCGCAAGTTTCGCCGTGCGCAAGTTTCCGTGCGTAAGTTTCGTCGTGCGCAAATTTCCGTGCGCAAGTTTCCGTGCGCAAGTTTCGTCGTGCGCAAGTTTCGGGTTCCCAAATCCATATTGCTAATAGAAATAGATCTTAATTGAATGAAAAATTGTATCTAACAAAATCCATGTCAGACATGGAACGTTCTTTTCGAGATGTTGAATATTAAAAACTGACTTTTTCTTTCACATTGAACATTTCAAGAATTAAGCCTGAGTTTCAAATTCTAAAAATTCCATAAGCACAAATTCTTTAAGACATGTTTAGTCTTTTCATGGTAAACGTTTATTTGCACTACCACTGGTCTATCGGCAATCAGAGGTGACAGCCATTCTTGGAAAACTTTCGTTTTTCCCTAGCTTAGCTGAACGATTTTCTTCATATTTATTTGTTCACCAATCTTTATAATAAGAATCGACTTCTCTCACAATCTTAGTGAGCTTGGTACATACCTGCCGGCAGAAGATTACCGACCGGAGAACTTCTATTAGTATACCGTGGTAGAATGACGGTCAGACGATAGCCGATCGTTTAAGTATCAAACAATCATCGGTTAACCGTACATTAGACAGAACAGTCTACCGATGGTTTTTGTCTGATTTGAATCACATGAGTTCTTAATTTTGTATTAAATTGTATACTATTAATTTCCCTGCTACTACTTTTAATATTCTACATTTTTACACACTTCTTCTTTGTCCCCGTAATTAAGCATTCATTATTTCGATAGTCATTCGAAGAGCCTACTTTATGTTTGAATTTGGGTTCAATAACATTTGGTCAAAGTAAAGATCTTGTTATTCCAATGACAATGGATCAATATAAAACAATGAAAATTATACTTCATTATGAATCTCCACATGGTCAGAAAAAGAAACAATGTAAATCACTAGAAAGACTTGATGGTGATATTAAATTATTAAATCAACAAAAATATCGACTGGAATTAGTTTATCTTATTCGTAAAGGCTATGAATTATTACGTGGATCTGAACAAACATTTACTACTAATCAGCAAAGTGTATTAGATCCTATTGAAGGTTTAGAACAAACAATAAAAAATCATTCAACTAATGATAATTATTTAACAGATTTACTTACAGATCTTACAGGTCAAATAAAAGCTGCATTTTCTCGATATGATTGGTTCGCAAAATGGGGTATTCATTATTTACCGAGTATTACACGTATGTATATTGATTTTTAATATTCAATACATAATATGTTGTTGTTTTTTTCTTTTTGTTTCTTTTAGGTGCTCATTTACTTCAACAATGTAATAATTTTAAAGATCCAGGTGTTCAACATTATGGTCAAGGTCAATTATTTAATACAGTTCGAGATGAAATGGATGCTATATTTTGTAGTTTACCAGCACCAAAACGAGCAAATTCTGGTGCAACTATTGATATGTCTGTTTTTAATAATTCAGATAATCCATGTTTTCACGGTTCATGTACAGTTAAGCTTTTTGATGGTTCAATTAAATTTGTTAAAGATATTCGACGCGGTGATCGATTATATCCACATGGCGGTACAATTAATTATATTTTAAAAACAATTTGTAATAATCAACAAGCACAAATGGTTTTAGTATGTATTTGATTTTTATACTTTAACTTAATTAATTGTTTTGTTTTTCTTTAAAAATGTAGCTTGATACTGGTCTTATTATAACACCATGGCATCCAATTCGTTTGAATGGTATTACATGGATATTACCTTGTTCACTTGTTCCATCTCCAACGAATATTACATGTGATGCAGTATATAGTTTTGCTTTGGATCAAGGACATACAATATGGATAAATGATATTGAATGTGTTACATTAGGTCATGGTTTTAAAGAAGATATTGTTCGACATGTTTATTATGGAAATGAACGTGTTATTGAAGATTTGAGAATTATGGATGGAGAACAAAATTGTACAGGTTTTATCGAAATACAACCAAAATGGTTGATTAGAAATAAACGAACAGGTCTTGTTAATGGTATTCGACAACCTGAAAACATTGATATTATTTCTAATTAAGAAAAATCATTTTTATAATCTTTTTTATTCTATAGTTTATATATGATAAAATTATTACTTAAATAAATGCATTCTTTTTCGTGTAATTATTAATATTCATCTTGAATGATCAATTATTATTATGAAAATAGTTCGAATCTTCGAATTTCTTTCTTCTCATCAATTGAAAGTACCTTGATAACAAAGTCAAATTAGACATTGTGATTTTTGTAATTGTTCAGTTTATTCTTTGATATGCATCTACATTCTGTATATGATTTATTTATAATCATAAACGATAGTGATCCATAAACATGTCGCAATTCTACAAACATTCTTTCTCGTCGACATCATCGTTCTTAAACAACACTTTGCATCAAACAATGTTCATTTATTTATCACAATGTCAATAAGTGCAATAAAATAAATCGCAATTGTCAAATGATTATACTTTTTGAAGATATATAATAGATCTCGAACCGAGATGTGCAAGTCAATGTGTCTTTATATACTGGTTCTAATTTAAAATGAAGTAGAAAAATATAAACATAACAATAGTGAAAATTGTTATAGAATATAATCAAGTTTACAAAACTAAAGTCAAGAGGTTAAAAATTAGATAGGAATTTTTTTTTTTAATTTCTTTATTATCTTATTCTCTGATATTTATTAGCCTATAATAAAATTAACATAATGTTTTGACAAATGACAGTCAAAATTTAATGTAGATCATCAAAATAATTTGTTTGATAGTTTGTTTTCTTTAATGATAGATTTTCAAATATAAGCAATTGTTTGAATTCTCATTAGAGAAAACTACTATTAACATCTTTTTGATTATTAAGATGTTTGTCATAGATTAATTTTTTTCATTAATATTTTCAATTATTATAAAAACTAACTCTATTCAATTTGAATTTATTTTTTCATACAGAATACAAAAATAATAATTTCATCTATTTATAAAGAAAAGAACACTTGAAAAATCTTGTTTTGACTTAAGTTAGATTCAAATATCATTGACTTACTCATCTACAAATAAACCTAGGCAACTATCGTGATTATGTCTATAAGTAAATAGACATTATTATGTGTCGCTAAGCACTTGTATATTCTCATAGCAACTAAACTCAATAAATATATCTTCTTACTTAAAGAACAAAAGCTGAATGAAAGTTTCAAATATCTAATTTTCTTTAGAACGTTTGTTTTTGTTTTTTGTTTTTTTTTGCTAATCAAAACACGACAAAAAGAAAGAAATCAAGACCTATCAATGATTAAATTCTAAAAACAAATCATTTGTTAATAAAGAAAAGCTGCATCATCATTTAATCGTTTCAGCATATTAGCTCGTCGTATTGAATCAGATGTTTTTGTTCGATTTGCTAAAAATTTCTCATATAAATATTGTTGTTGAAAATAATGATTTGATGAAACTAGATTCGATGGTAATGATGGAAGTTCAATTATAGAAATAACATTATTTTCAATCATTGGTATTTTACTCATCATTATTTGTTTTAAACTATGTTTCCATTCAGTTTCATAAATAGGTGTTGATTGATCGGATGATGAATTATTATTTGTTATTGGAATTACTGTTTCATAAATATTTGTACAAGGAGAATTTGTTTGATTATTAGTATCACTTTCAACTGATGAGATTCGTGTCATATCAATAGATACAACAGATGGCGAAATCGAACGATCATATTGTGGAAGTCGGCGTAAAATTTGTGTATACTCATTTGGATTTTTTATATAAGTAAAAGGTCGGGAATCGACACCTGATTTAATTGATAATATTCATTATGACGAAAAGAAAATTTTCTTTTATCTTTACCTTTCGTTGATATATTATTCTTGTCAATATTTGGTTGCGATGAATTATTAAGTTGTATTTGTACCGGTGATACTATAAAATAGATAAATTAATTTTTTTTTAAAACTTATGTTTATAATATTACCTGATTGATTTAATGAACGAAATGAACTACATGGAGATATTGGATTAATAAGTGTATCAATTGTTGTAGAACTTGTATCGGAATTTTTATTATTAATTCTTGTTGTTAACATACTTTTACTATTGATTAAATGAGGATATGATTCATATAAGTGTGAAAAATCAGTGATATCACTTGAATGACGTTTTATAAACGTATTCTTTTTTGTATTTTCTTGCTTTTGAAATCTTTCATTTAATTTATATGATGAATGTCGACGACAAGGATAAGAACAAAAACAAGATGATATTGAACAGAAACAACAACATGATGTTGTCAACAGTATAATTAGACCAATAAATGCTATGAATATAAGTAAACCAATGATACCATATAGAAGATAAGTATCAAGTAAAGAAGATTCTGTTAATGAATAAAATAATTGATCATCAGTCATGACAACTAAAATAAAATATTGAAACGACTATATTTATGACACATGTAGTTATACGATATGTATACTTCGAGACATCTCATGTATGTATAGACTACTTCACTATTTAAAGTGAGCACTGACAAAAAAAAGAGACCAACATTAAAAAATTGTGATGAGAGAAAGAGAATCAAATACTCGATCAGAGTCACGTCTACATTTATATATAGAACTCAAGCACACACACACACACATACGTATTTAATAAATGTGCACACGAGGCAATGTTTGCTTATGGGCTATAGATGAGCTCATGTATGTGTAAGTGTACATGTCAATATCGTGTGAAATGTTTCCTCTTTCAACAAGTGATTTTTTTTTCTGAAGGATATGTAAAATTTGTCGTCATTTTCAAGATCAATCATGAATACGAATAAGTAACATGTCATTTTCCTTTTAATTAATTCAAACAACTAAAAAGAAAAAAAAAGAACAATCTATTACATAATATAGATTTCAGAGTATCATCCAACGTTGAAAAAAACTATATGATAAAAAAAACATACAATGTATAGCATTTGATTTGCTTCATAATTATTCTTATTTCAATTCTCTAATACTCAAACAAAAAAGGAAACTTAATTAGATTCGTTTTCAAGGCAAAAGTCAATTCATCATTTTTATGGTATCCAATTTATTTTATTAATAAAAAAAGAATCAAATAATTTTTTATATCATCGATATAGATATAAATTTCTTAAAATGAAAATTTATAACTTATTTTTTTAGTATTAATATTATCAAATGACGAATAGTTTGTCGATAGTTTTGTGATAATGATTAGTGTAAAAGTCTTTCGCTCGACATATGAAGATAGTAACACTTCGTAATCCTTTTCGTCTTCAACGTAAAGAAAAAATTAAGCAATCGCCGGTCAGTGATTGTTGTCACACATTTATTTGCTTGACCTTTTTATTGAATATATGCTAAACAAGTTATTGCCGACAATGTTGTTTATACTTTTTTAATAATAAAGAGGCGTAACTTATTTTTTTCGATGTCAAACGCAACAGTCATCATAGCAATCGATGAGTGCGTTTTACAATAACAGAAAGTTGCATGAAAAATATCGAGTCATATCTGTCATGCTTGAGTTGCTTTTTTTTGTCTTATTCAAAACTAATTTAACAAGAAAAAATATTAATAAATATATTCATTTGATGCATATATATATATATATATATAAAATACAAACTGTTTTATATGGTCGTTTAAAAATCACAATGGCAGTTAATTACGATAATGAGTTAGGTTTTTCCGAAAATGATATAGAGTGTTCACGAAAAGCATTTTTTCATGATTGTCCTAATGGACGTTGTTCAAAACGAAAATTTCTTACTTTTATACGAAAATCATGTTTACAAAAATCCAGTCAATCAAATATTCATATTATAAAAAATTTACAAAATTATCGACAAAGTAAAAAATTTTTTTCAATGATGTTTGATATATATGATCAAAATCACGATGGAGAATTGGATTTCGATGAATATATTTATGCATTATCAGCTATAACTGGTACTAATCGTTTACGTACAATTGAAACATTATTTAAATTTTTTGATATCTATAATGAAGGTTATATAACTCAAAAAGCATTTAATTCAAGAAAAAAATTAGCAGCACAATTTCTTGGTCAATATAAACCTGATATTAAAGATAATTTATTATATGAAAAAGCATTTAATACAATGGATATGGATAAAGATGGACGTATATCAAAAGAAGAATTTATTCAATGGCATTTAAAAGATCATTCAATATTACATAATGAAAAACCTATGAGAAAACGAATACGTTTATTAAGAGGTTCAACAACTATATTTAATTCTAATGGTCAAATAAAAACATCATCATTACAACAACATGATAAATATCCAATTGATCTTTGGTTAGAAAAAACAATGAATATTAATAATAAGCAAGAGTAAAATTTTATTTATCGATTTGTTTTCTTATTAAAATTTATTTCATTTATTCTTTTAATATTTATTAGATTGTCTTCAACAAATAATACTGATCGATATTTATTTAAAATTTTCTATCGTGCATGTAATCATTTTCATCATGGAAAAGTTCAAATCAATGATAATCAATCTGATTCAGGTATTTTTACAAGTTCATCATCAACAACGAATTTTACTGATTATGATATTGTTTCAAATAATTTCTTTGATATAACTGATGAGGATGATTTTCAATTGAATCTAACTAATGATAAAGATGAGGAACTTTTATGTCAATCATTAGAAACTGTTTTAATGGAAACATTACTTGAATTAAGACAACAAAGATTAAATAAGAATTTTGGAAATACATCTATCAACGAGAATGAACAAATCGATTCAATTCGATTATAAAGTTTTTTTTTATTGACTGATCAAGTATTTCAATGCTTACAGTCAATTCAATACTTAAGATTTACTAAGAATATTCAACATTTTAAAAAATACTTTATACTATCGAGTGGTTTTGATATTGAACCTCATTCTTTGCTTTTACTATATTTTGCTCATTCAAATATAATGTGTTTAAAAAAAAAAGCTTAGTAATATATTAATTTTATATTATTATTTGTTGTT